CATCTTTACCTATTCCAATGAATGAATCGGCAGTAGGGGAAAATGGCGCACCGCAGAGAATGAGAGTAGAAGATGATGTGACGCCTCAAAGAATGTCGTCTTTACCTATTCCTATGAATGAATTGGTGTAGGAAAAATGGCGCATCGCAGAGAATGACATCTATACAAATTGGTGAAGTAGTGAACGAATCAGTGGTGGAAGATAGATGGCACATCGCAAATACAAATTGGATTGGCGATGTAGTGAACGAGTCAGTAGGTGAAGATATGACACCACAAATGACAGTAGTAGTGAATCAGTAATAGAGTAGCGATGACATAAATAGATCACTATGGTGGATTGGTGGGTTCGAAGGGTATGCCGGGCAAGCAAAACATATTAATATGTACTTCTAATTTTAATAATTCCGGATAGAATCTTGAACATGTAGATAACCTCCGAGTGAGGTTAACAAAGGCGCTGGGTAACGCCGGTGTACATAATAATAATAATTAAGCATTTCAGCATTACCGATATCACCTGATGATATCAAATTGGGGTGCACTCACTTTATTAATAGTAGCGTGAAATAAACATGATTCAAATGTGCGGAGTCAGCTCCAGATTGATAATTATCTTCAGCGGACATGTATGTGCAAACTTGTGGCGTTTTCATTGTTACGAGGGAGTTGTAAATTTCCGATAGCGATTCATATAGGCGACTTCTTGTTCAGAAGCTGCAGATTTGTTCATCGTGTAGAGGATGGTATAGCATGACGACAAAGGAATATTTAAAATTATACAGACGTATCCCGCGTTATTCGCGCAAAATGGGCGCCGTTATACGCCATAGCAGCGCGCATGGTGCCAAAAATCTAGCTCACGCTATGACAATCGCCCAAAATCATTAAGACATTCTCCAGATAATAACATTTCTCCAACACAGAACTATGTTGTCGTAAATTACAGGCCAAGAGGGGTATCTCCAGATAAGGTAATGCCATTTCAATTCTGTGACAGACCAGATGCAGTAGCGCGGAAGCAGCTGAAATCATTGATTTGCATAATTACTAATTTGATAAAGCATTTGAGAAAAGCTTCAATGTGTACTCCCGTATTGACATTACTAATTGCTATAATTGCATCAAATGGTTAGAAATCTCAAAGGAGATTCCAGTAAGCCATTAATAAATAAATGGGTTTTCTTTAATAAGCAATTTGCAACTGATTTACTTTGGCATCCTGGTGCTAGCATTAAGAATTAATATTGTGACCAATTTTCCTTCATCATCGACTTCCATTGATACGATATCTTCAATATCAGTTTTTTGAATGTTCACAGGAACAGCACCTAACTGCGTCATTTTTCTCATGGCTGTCACTCGCTATTCCTCGAATGTACGTTGATGGTGTGCATTGATACGAATAAATACAATTTTTTCTGTATCGCTAAAACCTAGGAGAAGATAATCTGTTGCTTCATCGGTGATTTCTTCGGGTTCCTTCCTTTGTAAATTCTGCAAAAAGAGCGTTCGAATCGTCAAAGTATATGGCCGATGCAATAAACCTTTAAATTGTAAAAGGATGCAAAGTTCTAAATCTATCAAACGCGTAACTAATAAAGGAGGAGCGCCAGCTCCATTAAATAATAAATGTTGCAAACCTGTCCGTATGGCCATGACTTATCGAGTTGTCACATTCGGTCACGGTTCCGTAATATTCAATCGGTATAGTAAGACAGCCTTTCTTTTCTGACTTTTTGTGACGACAACAGACTGAAATAAAATAACAGTATTACGCCGTTGAATGCTTGTTCGTTTACGCAAATGTATTCCACGAGATTGAGAATGTGTTGATCCCGCGCTTTACAGTTTATTTTGCAATTATGCGAATATTATCTCATCGTAGAAAAATCTTATTCCCGTTCCTCGGAAAATTCAAAGTCGCATACTATATTTCTACCGCGATGGTAATGATATAATTTGAATCTATATAATGGACGGTTTCTCCATTATTATGGTTTTAGCGTCAGCGCTCATAGCACGCAAAGCAAATTGCTCAGAATAATTAGATATTGAATATATAATAACGTTCTTCAATGGTTGTGTAGTTAAAGTAATTTGATTAGGTGCACATATAAGTTTTCAACGTTTAATCACGACTTTGACGCCCTGCTTTTAATGCCTCGATTCTGGTCATGAAATTAGGATTGGAGCGGCTGGCGTTACTCCAGATTAAATCCTTATATGTGACCAATGGAATTGCGGAGAAATTTGGGGGGTGTCCCTGATCGAATGAATAGGGGATGTCTATACTAATCTGATTGGTTTGTGGCTTAATACACAGTGAAACTCGATATAACGGACTCTCGATATAACGGGTATCGCATAGTACAGATATTTTTCATGGAACAAATCTAACACTAATAAAATGTGTCTCGATATACCGGATTTTATTAGTAATCTCTCGATAATAATAAAGCCTATAACGGATGCTAACCAAAAAGTACTATATTAATATGGCAGTTCTGTCAAAAATATACTTGATATAACGGATATCTCGTGTTTTTAATAATCAAATAATCAACCAATTCCAATTGTTGAATTTGGTGGGTGTCAACCAACGAAATTAGTCTACTCCTTGTAAAATTAATATGGTTAGTTAACTCATTGGGTAATAAGTCCTATTGTTGCAGGAATAACTGTCAATAAAGACGCTTGTTTATGCCGAAATCAAACCATGAGATCCAAAAAAATCAAATATCTGGCTCTAACTCATTGAACAGTTACCAATCAATGATCCTTTGGAGATACGAAAATTCGTGAATATAAATGATGAGATGAGTATTGGAGAAAGTGCAAGTATAGATGATATTGTAGAAGTAATGAACGCACAGGAGGGAGGTGAATCAAAAGAAGATCGGGAAACGGAAGTTAAACAAATGATGCGATTGTAGGAGTCGATAATGTATTAAATATACAATAAAGTATTGTAAGTTTTTCTGGAAGGCAAATACCTTGCATTTTGAGCATCAACTCCCGTTCCCAAGTGGATTGAAAGCATATTTACTATCGAGCGGTTAACGGGATCAAATCACTATAGTCTGATTGGTCGAATCTAAATTCTTCACAAAGTCGAACCCGTGCAATTCACTTAGCTTGAACTATTAAAGTTTGAATTACGATTGAAAGCAAAAAATTTAGATTCGACCAATCAGACTACAGTATATAGTGATTCGATCCCCCGTAAACCGCTCGATAGTAAATATGCTTTTAATCTACACTTGGGAACGGGGGTTGATGCTCAAAATGCCAAGGTATTTGCCTTCCAAGAAACTTACAAATATATAGTTTTAGACTGACTTTACTCCTCGATTAGAACATAACGCCTTACTTGGAAATGTAATTGCAAACTCAGTTCTCGATAAAGAAATCTGCGTGAGACAACATGGGCGTTTTTTAGATAATACTGTAATAATAATAATAAGAGTGGGCAGGAGACGATTTGATCAGGTGATCTCGAAGTACTGAGATAGAGTAGTACATGTCACCGGTTTTCTTCGCGAGGCGGCTGCGTCCCCTCACCGTGACAATAGGGCTCTGTAATGTCGATGCTTA